TCAGGAGCCCGCCTGGAGAACAGAGGCATACATTTCAAGTTTCAGCAGTCAGGAGCCCGCCTGGAGAACAGAGGCATGCATTTCAAATTTTAGCAGTCAGGAGCCCGCCTGAAGAACAGAGGTATTATAATTCAAGTTTTAGTTTTCAAATTCTAACTAATATCTGGTAACATGATGCCCAGCCACCAAACTGGGGCAGAAAATTTTCTTTGTTTTGTCTATTTTGTTGAAGTCAGGAGCCCACCTGGAGAACAGAGGCATACATTTCAAGTTTCAGCAATCAGGAGCCCGCCTGGAGAATAGAGGCATACATTTCAAGTTTCAGCAGTCAGGAGCCCGCCTGGAGAACAGAGGCATACATTTCGAGTTTCAGCAGTCAGGAGCCCGCCTGAAGAACAGAGGAATACATTTCAAGTCAGGAGCCCGCCTGAAGAACAGAGGAATACATTCAAGTTCAGCAGTCAAGCATCACTCGGAGAAAGGGCAAAACATCTCAGATCACAATTCAAGTCAGCAACAAAGGAGGCTTGCGGAAAGAATGCGAGTCAACAGTCCAAGACGACCAGCGGAAGTTGGTCACAATCCAAAATAATATAAGAAGAGGAGAAACAAAGAGAAATGCAAGAAGTTAATCCAAATGCAGAAGTTGATCAAAGATGTGGGCTGCTCAAGACATGGCTGAAATCACAAGCATGGTGTGTCCGGTTTTGATCCGAAAAGCTGAAGAGGAACGAGCTAGCACCTGCAGCTAACAAGCGTCAAGGTTCAAATCTAAAGTCTGCATGAAGAACCATTCAAGACTCAAGATCAAGCTTCAGAAGACTTATAGATAGGAATCTTGTAAGTCGTAGTTGATAGGCTTAGCTAGTCTTTTTCATGTTTTGTTTGATGTAATAACAGGACCGCGGACCGGAACCTCGGCAGAACGGCACCTCGACTGGCTCTCCACCTCAGTATACTCCATCATCTCACTCACCTCTGAACTACACGTGGCCTGATTCCTTTATAGCCAAGGATATGTAGGCAGCTCAGATACCAAGGCTCGGTCACATTCCCCTTTTCTCTTAGTGTTGGTCTCTTTAAATAAGGGTCGGATCAAAAAACCTGTCTAGTCATTCTTGGTCTGAAAACTCTTCGCGTTTCCAGTCAAAGAGGGGAAGCTGTAGACATGTGATTTTTGATCCTCCCCAAGATTTTTTATATTTTAGCATGTAAATATTTAATTTAGGCCTAATATAGCTTTTTAACTATTTTTTTGACTTCTTTACTTTATTTTCGTCACAAAAATGGAAAATTACAAAAATATTGTAGTTTATATATTTTTTCATAATTTTTTTTTAAAAAAAAAATACAAAAATAGTATCTTGTTTTTATCTCTATGTAATTTCGAAAACACAAAAATTGTTTCATGTTTGGTTTAATTAATTAGGATTAGCTTTGGCATTGTGTAGTATTTTTATCTTATTTTAAAAGGAGTCAATTAAGGTGTTGAATTACAATTTTAAGAGTTTTAGAGCCCGATTCTTGGCTCAATTCGGATTAGTCCATTAAGCCTAGGGATCCTTCTAGATTCTTCTTTGGAACAAAAACAAATAAATGACACTCTAAGGACCTTAACACAAAAGACCTAGGGACTAATTGGCAAAATACACAAAATATAAACCTAATCCCTACCCCTATATAATAGTACCTACACCTAAATAACACCGACACCCAATTCCCAAAAATCTGAAGGTGAGGGCCGCAATACACAGACCCCCCCCCCCCCCGGACGTCACTCTCCTTCGTCAGCCCCCCTTCCCCCCTACGCCTCGAAATA